CCCTTCCATCTCCTTGCAAGTGCATCAGTGTGGTTTGTCAATGGGCATGAGTTTTTCTTGCAAGCAAAGAGCTGTCTTTTCCTAAGAAGCCAGGTGGCAAGACATGGCCAGCCTCAGAGGCAAGATGACTCATGAGGGCATGTGGGCCATGATACCAACATGACTTCTTTGGCGTCTTAGATATAAAACCCAGGTAGAAAGTATCGATTTTAAGAAAGCCTCTTGCTTAATATCAGGAATCTGAAATCTCGGGAATGTTCTCAACCTGTTGTGGGAGATCTTCCCCCACTTTTTCCAGGGTACTCTTGAGGAGAGAGGGATAAGAAAATATCAGATAGAAAGATAGGCCTAGACTACGAGAAGAAAGAAACACAGGATAGTTTCAGGAGGTCCTAGATCAATACCCAAAGGCCCAGAGATTCATTCAAAAGGGCTTTTTATAACAATGCCAAGAGGTGAGGCAAAAGACCTCCCCCTTGCTAGATACAGCCAAGTGTAGACCCTTTCAAACACCTGGTACCTAGGCCCTTGGTCCAGTCATCCTCTTACGCAGTTTGCTGGGTAAAGCAAACTCAGATCTCACTAGCCAACCTCTGTGGGCTCCCACAACCTGTCACTTGTCTCCACTGCCTCAGACACAGTGCCACCACCTGCCCCTCCCTCATCTCTGTCCCTGCCAGAAAAAAATTATTGCTGATGATTCAAGATGTGCTTAACCTTCCATCTACTAATCATTACAGTGGTCAGTTGACATTTTACAGATGACAAAACTAACATGGGTTCAACTTATACCCTGCATTTACAGACCCAGAGTTCATATGGAGACAGATTGGGCCTATAACTTTTGCCCCCAGAATGGGAGCTCTACCCACAAGTCACTGCAGGGAAGCAGCTCAAAGAGAAAGGATTGCAGGAGCCCTACAAAAGCCCTTGACAGTACCCATGGTGAAGGCAAGGCCATAGTAGGCCGCAAAGCCTCCAGTCTGGGAATGAGGGTATCAGGGATTCAGGCAGAGAATCTGGATAATTTTTAGTGGTGGTATGTATGTGTATGTGGCATGGTCTTGTGAAACTCCCTATGTAGCCAGCAAGGACCTTGAACTTTTTTATGTATGCTATGCCAGGAGCAAACCCTGGACTTTGTGTGTGCTAGACGAGCACTCTACCAACTAAGCTACATCTCCTACTCTGCTTTCTGTGTTGTTGTTTTTCCTGCTATACCTGGCTACATATTGGAATGATTTGTTTTCCTCTGAGCTTAGAGGAGGTGAGACAGATGCACCCTTTCTTCTCTGTGCCTTGAAAGCCTGCCCTAGACTCCTAGCCTCTGTAAGGCTGTAGGCCCTGAGGTGTCCATGCAAGATACTGTCTAGTGTGATGCTGGCTTTGCCAGAGAAGCCCAGGGATGCCACCATCCATTTGTTCCCCTCTATCCTGTCTAGGTTTGCTGGGGGAGGCAGAATTTGTACAATAACAGCATTGACTTTGGTGTAAGATGTCCCAGAATCTAAACACTGCCTCCTTTGGCTAGGGGTAAGGCTCCCATGAATTCCCATGGGGATCTGTAGGAACACTTATTTGCTTGTTATTTGAGTGGACAACCCATGCTGACAGTGATGTGCCTCATCCACGGGTGTGTGTGAGATAGCCAGTTGTAGACACCTAGTGAGTGGTAATAGTTTTACCCTGCCATTGCTGCCTGTGACATCAGGTCCTACAGGGTGGAGACTCTGTTGCCCTCCCTGCCTAGAACCAGAGGGCAGCTCTTATCTGCATGTGGGTTTGGTTACTATAGAAACAGGCTATTGTTTGTGTCAATATCCTGAAAACTTTGAAACTGGGTGGGCCTGGTGCCAGGTGCTTCCTGACTTGCTGTTTGCCTGTTCCCAGCCGAAGCTTATGTCACTCCAATGGCCAATGGAATTGCAGCCAGTGCCCACCCTGCTTCCCAAATTGTCCCCTGCAGCCCAGGAAAGTGCTTACCAAGGTGGCTGTGAGAAGCAAATGTCCGTTAACAGCGCACTTACACATATTAGCCCTAGGCCACTTGGTTTTAGACTTCAAAGGGGCCTTGAGAGCCACATTTTGATGCACTTGTTATACAACTCAGTACATGGGGATTTGATTTCCTTTGAAAATTGTTCAGCCTTAAAAATCAACAGACTCAAAAACATGGTGTTTTTAGCCTTGTACCCTTCAGTTTGCTTGTTTCTTACAGTTTGCAAAGCCATCACTGGGAAGGTGGATTTTTCTGGGTTTTGTTGTAATGTTTTTTTTTGTTGTTTTTTTTTTGTTGTTGTTGTTGTTTTGTTTTTTGTTTTTTTCCGTTTGTTTTAATTGGTGAGCAGATCTAATACAAGTTCTCTACCACTGAGCCATTCTCCCAGGTCAACCCCTGAAGTCAGTCTTTAAGTGGGAGAATGAGAGGGCTGGGAATATAATACAGCTCAGTGCAGAACACATGAGCTCCAGCACCAGCACCCACATGAAGGACCTGTGCATGATAGCATCCACCAGAAGTCCCCCATGCTGGGCTCCCTGGCCAGCCAGCCCAACCTAACTTGGCAAGTTCCAAACTACATGAAAGACCTAGCTCAAAAAAACAAGGTGGGCATCACCTAGTAAAATTTAATATTTCTTTTTTACAAATGTCAAACGTGGAGGCAGAGAAGGCCCTAAGCAATCTGGATTCAGTTTTTCTCTTTGGCCTTTCCCTAAAGATTTGGCCAAATGCATGGTGGGAGGGATCCTTGCAAACAAAAGATCCTTCTCTGCTTTGTGTGGGCCCCCAAACCCATGGGGACCAGCTCATATGCATGGAATTTAGAGGACCCACCCCTCACACCCTTTTTTTCTTCCTCAGCATTCTCAAAGGCAGCCAGGAGCCTGGAATTTACAAGCCTGACTTGTGGCACGTATCCCAGGGTACTTTGAGCTTTGGACTTGTTTATCTCCCCAGGACAAAGAATCTACTGGTCCTTTATTGCCCGTGTTTCCCCTGTCTGACCACCCGCCCTTCCACAGCACCAGGATGCCTTGCCTTGCCCAGTCACCATTGAGGTGGGGCACATTCTTTGGATCCAGCTAAACCTGGGCAGGGTGTTCTCAGAACAGTTTGACAGAGGCTCTGGCCTCTGCGACCCACTACTGGATAGCAGTAGAATGACCCAATGTGTGAGGATCTGCAAGCAGTGTGTCAGATGCAGCAATTTCAGGTCTGGATTTCAGTCCCAGCCCTGTGGATTGCCACCTCAGTCATCACAGGCCTCTGTGCTCTCATCTGTAAAACGGAGAGAGTTAAGACCTTACATTCTAAGCTAAACCGGACACCTCTATGCTCAGCCCATTTACCCTCCAACCAACCTGGGTAAGCCAGGGCTTCCAGGATACCTGGAAGGATGTTGAGGTGACTTGGTTCCCTAAAGTGGAGAGGAATGGGTATCCCATTGGGGGAAAGCTGGTCTGTGGGAGAAGACAGTAATGTGATGGTTCTAAGCACAGACTAGGAGGTTTACATCCTACTCTGCCTTGACTTACCCCAAACCACTCACCCTTACATAACAGATGTCTCATGTGGGGCTTAGGAGAAGCCATGGGGCCGTGGAGCCAGAGCCTGCTGGGGACTGGATCTGGGCATCATCAGTGGAAACTAGTAAAGAACTCGGCAAAGGGTTCAAGTTTAACAATCCCAGCCCTGCAGCTTACCAGCCAAGACACCTCAGGGAATGGCCTCTGAACCTCAGTGCCCACATCTGTAAAATGGGAAAATGGAGGTGGAGATTAGTGCTCTGCCAGGTAGAGCCAGGAAGCTCTTATTCTGTGGGCATGGGACTTCTGTTCAGATGCAATTTCAGGCACATAGTAGAACAATCAGGGTTTGCAACCTGACCCAAGGGCCAAGAAGTTACTTGGGGACTACCCAAAGCACTTAAAAGAAGGTACAGCAGGCCCAGGCTTTTGTGCTCGGTTTACATTTAATATCTTAAGTCCCCAGACTCCCTCTAGCTTCATCTTATCCCAGGGATGGCTTGTGACTGTTTTACAACTGTGAGCGTGCTCGCTTTTCAGATGAGCATCCCTGTCTTTCAGTCTCCCCAGCTCTGCCTGGCTAACATGTTCCTAGTTGTGAGCTGAGTCCAAGAGCACTCCGCCAAGAAGCCTCCCCTAACTCCCTAACACCCCAACACCTTGTTGTAACTCTATCTCGTAGGCTGAAATGTGGAAACGTAAAAGCTGAATCCTTCCTCATCTACCTACATTATGTATCTTCATTGGCACCTAACATGGGGTCTAGAGTTTGTTGAATGAAATGAGTGTGCATACAGCAGTGGAAAGACAGGTGGCCCTGGAGCATAGCCCTTTCCTCTCTGGCCCTTTCCAGGAGAAAGGCAGAGGCTGCGAGAGTTCCATTGGCTGCCTATGTTGGTGCTGAGGCTTCCCCTGCCTGTTTATGTCCCATCTCCTCTCTGATAGTACATTCACCAGGAGAGTTTTGTGTCCATAACTTGGACAGAGGTTTTAGAGTTGTTATGGATTGAATCTGAGATCCCCTATAAAGGCTCAAGTACTGGGGACTAGGTTGTTACCCAAAGGGCTTTTGTGGGGTGGTTGATGTGGGCTCTGACCTAAGGAATGGATAAACCCATGGTAGGTTCATACGATGACATTAATGAGAGCTGGAGAGAGGAGGTGGAGCCTGGCTGGAAGAAGGCTGTTTCTGGGTTGTGCTGTCAGGAACTGGATCTTACCCTGGCCCCTTCCTGTTGGCCACCATGAGGTGATGGGTCCTCATCTACTTGTTACAGCTACCACACTGTTCTTTCCGCCCAAGCACATGGGCTAGTGACTGTGGACCAGACCAAACTGAGCCACAATAAATTGTTTCTTATCTTTTAAGATTTTCCTTTTTTTTTTTTTTTTGTTCTTAAGTATTTTGGAAACAGCACTAAACGTCTGACAGATACAGGGTGCTATCCCAGCACAAGCATTTAATGTCACTGCCCTCCCCCATTTTCCACATATGAAAGAATTTTGAACACCTATAAGGAGCGTGCTAACACAGTAAAAGGTCCAGCCTGGGGCCTGTGCGAAACAGGTGTGAACCTCCATATAACAGCAGTGGTCTGGTCCTAACAGGCATAAGCATTTCCCTATACTTCATTTCTGCATCTGGAAAAGAGGTCATGCACAAAGAGATGGCTTAAGGCCTCAGAGCATGGCATAGTACCTAGTTCCAGGCAGGTACATACTAAATTTCAGCTGACATTAATGGAGATTGCCCCATAAACCACTCTGTCTCAAGTGCTTTACACACTGTGAAACACTGTTCTCCTATTACTAAAGCATACTCACACCATTATCCTGTGTACAGAAAGCTACCTAGCAGGTGGCAAGACTGAACCTCTGAGGATGAGGCCACAGAATTGCCACATGCCCAGGCTTCCAGAGGGTGGAGACTAGACCTTCTGTTGGTCCATCTGGGTGCCTAGTATATAGCAAGTTCAGGATCCATTGTGTGGAAGAGAAACATGGTTCCTGTGTGTCCCCCTGAAAATACTTGGCATTTGACCCCCTGAAAAGAGTGGGACCCTCCACACCCACACACTTGTCATCCTGGGAGGGTCATGGCCAGGCTCTGCTTTCTTTTTTATGAATAAAAATTAAATTTGTGTGTGTGTGTGTGTGTGTGTGTGTGTGTGTGTGTGTGTGTGTGTGTGTGTGTGTTGTGCTATGATATGTGTGAGTGCAGACACACCTGTGGAGATCAGAGGACAGCTTTTGGGAGTCAGTTCTCTGCTTCCACCCTGAGTTCCGGGATGGAACCCAGGCCTTTGGGCTTGCATGACAGAACCCTTACCCGTAGAGCCATCTTACTGGCCCATGGTTCTGCTTCCTTTTCCAACTTGACCTGGCTTGACCTGGCCTGCCAGTAGGTGACCCTAGTCCCCTCGCCATCCCTCCCCCTCCTCTCCAGCAGCCCTGGCAACTTGGCTCTCATTGGCTACACGTTTCCTTGGAGACAGACACCAGCCATCCAAACACAGTTCTGAGCTTCAGGAAAAAGAATCTTCCTTCCCACCCCTGGGCTCCCTAGCATGGAAGAACTGTTCAACTCCTCAAACCAGGCCTTCTGGGAGGAGCGAATAAAGAAGGAGGTGGTTGCTCGGACCACCTGGAATATCCGCTATGGCCACAAGTACCTGAAAGAGGGGTCCAGGACCAGGAAGCAGTCCCGGCAGGCCCCTTGTGAGTCAGTCTTAAAAGCAGGCCCAGTGCCTGCCACTGGCTCCCCTGTCAGAAAAGAGGCACAAGCTGGATGGCTAGAGACCAAGGGGGTCCAGAACCAGCTGTTCAAGGCTGGCAGTGTCCAGGAAGACGTAGTGAGGCAGGCCAGGGGAGCCCAAGGCAGGCCAGAGGACTTAGAAATGAGGCACCCTAGCCCAGCCACTCTGAATCTGCTCTTCCAAGGCATCTCCCATGATGGCCAGGGCCGGACCCTGTACCTCAAGGAGCGGAATCGACTGATGCCAGAGGAGAAGTACAAGTACCCAATCGTGTCTTCCTGGGAGTATGGCTGGCATGTGGGTAAGACCATTACATTCTTGCCATTCCAGGCTTTTGGCAGGCAGGACTGACCCTCCCCAGCCCCATTCTTCACCACCTCCCTCCTGATACAAAAACCAAACTAGCTCACCACCCTACAAGTAGACCAGGAGACTTCTTACCTGCACATGGTGCCTGGCCTGTTCCCTGAAACACACCCCACCTCCCCTTCCTTTACCAGGCCTGACTACATGGTACCTACCCTAGGGAGCCTTCCCAGAGTCTTCTAGGCAGATTCACTGAACCCACTTGGTACTTCTGCAGCTTGGTGAGTCTACAGAAGAATGAGAACCACTAAGTCAGTAGTCTGCGTGCTCCTTTGGCCTGGAAGGCCCTTTGTGTTCCAAGATTTCCTGGTTAGTTTTTTTCACAGCCTCTAGCTGCCTTCTTGGAACTGAAACTGAAATGACTATGAAATGAATGAATATGGACATGCTAAACATGGTGGTGCACACTTGTAATCCAAGCACTCACAAGGCAGAGGCAGGAGAATCAGGAGTTTATGGTGAACTTCAGCTCCGTAAGGAGACGATGTGAGCCAGGGCTACATGAGACCCTGTCCAAAAAAAAAAAATCAAAACCTAAACTAAATGTGAGCAAGAAAGCAAGGCCTTTATTTGAAATGGGGATGGGAACATCTCAAATCCTGGTTCTTCTGCTTCTGGATGCCATGATCTCATGAAAACATCACTTCTCAGGGCCTTGGTTTCTATGTCTGAAACTGGAATAAGCAGGTACCTGTTTTCCTTCATCACAGCATTTTTGGGAAGTAGTGTGGAAAAATACCTGGGACAGGTATTCTGTTCACAAAAGCCATGTGAGATGTAAACCCTGTGGAATCCTTCTCTCAGGACAGCCCGTATAGGGGAGAGCAGGGTTCTGCATCTCAGCTCTCCCCTAAAAGGAGCATGGGAACAATCAGGCTCAGAAGGCAGATTCAGCACGAGCTGGAAGTCTGGTTTCTTTGTTCATTCAATGGATTTTATGGAGCAACTGATACACGCCAGGCCCTTTTATGTCAGGGATGAACCAGAGAGCAAAACAGACATTGTTTCTGCCTGCATGGAAGGCAGACAAGGCATAGATACATACTGTAGATGCAGGCAGCAGCCATGTTGTGAGGGTTTGCGGGGTTTTGTTGTTTTTGTTTTGTTTTTTTTAGCGGGTGTTCTTACTGGGCATAGGAGTCAGTTGTCAAAGGTTGGGAATGGGATACAGGGCTTTGCACACATACTAGGCAAATTCTCCATGTTGAACCTTGGCCTGTTTCTGCACATATAACAAGCTCCCAGATGCTGCTGATGCTGCCTGTCTGTGAATTACACTGACTGTCAAAACTGTGAGAGTAAGAGTTAACTCAGGATATGGGGATCAGGACTGGGGGCTACCCTGGCAGACAGAAATCAGGAAGGCCCACTACAGTCTTGTCCTGGGTAGTCATTTTGCACTGTGCTCTTCTGAAAAGAACCTGATGGCCTGTACTCATGGAGAGCATCTCAGTTAAGTGGCCAATACCTCCTCTCCTCTGCCTCACAGGTCCATGCTCACTGCCTGTGAAGGCACTGTATTGGTAGATTTTGCAAATACACACACAGGATACAAAGGCTCATTTGAATTCTAGGTAACAACTTTTTGTGTGAGTATACAGTAAATATGGTATGCACATACTCTGAAGATTATTCATGACAATCTGCAGTTCAAATGTGATGGGGCAGCCTGTGCTTTACCCAGCAACCCAGACTTAAGAGTGTCAGTAACCATGCTGGTAGCCTGGTTCTGAATGTTCACTGGCCCCTAGGGTGATGTTGGATTGTAGCCAGAAGCATACATCATCTGCTTAAGTCCAAAATTGCTCCCAGAATCTCTAGAACATTTCATAAGCCTTTGGCCTCACAGCCTGAACCCAATTCAGGTGTCACTTGGAGAACAGATGACAGACCTTCTGCTAACTGATACTGTCCCCTACCCTAATTATAAATAGAGAGGGGCAGTTCATCCCAGGGTGCAAAGAAGGCAAAGTTGGGACATTGTCTGGGGCCCAGCTGGGTCAGTCAAAAAGTCCATTATATATATATATATATATATATATATATATATATATATATATATATATATATATATATATATATATATATATATATATATATATATATATATATATACAACTGACTGACAACTCACACGTAGTAAAGTGTTCAATAAAGTGGTAACAAGCACTGTATTTATTAGTAGTATTATTATTAAATTATGATTGTTATTACTGGTTCAACAGGCAGGATTTGCAGTGGGGTCATCTGAGGAGCTAGTTTGTCTTAGGCAGCCCCTAGAGATCTTACCATACAGTGGGATAGTGGGACAGTCCTAACAGTGGCAGGAATATGAAGCATTGTAAGTGAGCTCAGAGTTGGAATTAACAGTTGAAATGACTTAAGTGCTGGTCAAAAGAGATCCTGATCGGGTTCAGTACAAGGTCTTAAGGTTCCACATGGTGCACACACTAGCCTTGAGTTCTGAGCATCCTCAGGAAAGGACCAGGGACATTGAGAGGCTATTCCTGAGTGACATAAGAGTTGCCCCCATATAACAGCACATCACTGCTGACCCCCAACCCTTTAGGTGGGGAAGGGCTAGCAGGTGATGACCCCTTTTCATCCAGGCCTCTGCTCTGTTCCAGGAGATGTCATGAAGAACTACAGGACTCCAGCTCATGCCAAAACTCATCCCATCACAGATTCATTTTACATCAAAAATGGCATTTTCCATATTCCACGGCGATCAGACGACCTCATGTGAACTTGGCTTGGAAAGGGCCTCGGTGGCTCCTTTTCCCTATGATCCATCTGGACTAGCCAGGTAGGCCAGGCCTACCTCACTCCGTGTTCTGCTGAGCCCCGCTTCCTTGGCTGAGAGTGACGTGAAGAAGTGATCACAGGCATACACCTCTGGGGTGTACTGTTGGCCTATGCTGGGCTCCAGTCTACACACGAGAACTCCACTCCTTACACAGCTGCCCCATGTTGCCGTCACTAGCAATGCTGCTCCTTTTCCTGGGGAAGACAATGAGATGCAAGGCTGCATCAGCAGGCCTGGACGGGGGAGGAATTCGCTTAGCCCACAAGGTGCTAAGGAGAGCAACGATCTCCTATTGTTTATTTCTCTACATTGACTGATGGGATCTATAGCAGAGTTGCTCTGTCCCAGTGTATCCTACAGTTCAGGGAAGGACTTGTCATCTCCTCTGGCTGCTTCCCTGACTCCTGCATCAGTCAGAGATGCCCTGCCTCACACACTGCAACAATCGGTCCCTAAGTTCCAACTATTTAAACAAATAAAGATACATTTCTTTTTTTTCTCTCCCCACCCCCTACTCATTGAAGATGCATTTGTCCTACCAGAGTCTAATGTTAAGTGGACAGCTTCCTAGGTACTCATCTAGGGAGACACTGCCCTCAACTGGTGGCTCTGTCAATTACTCAAACCTCAGAATCCTTTTTAGAGTCCTCTGTGTCCAGTGGAAAGGGAAGAGAGATAGGAAATGTAGAGACACTGGAACCACATGGGGTTTTCGTTAACTTGATTTTTCTGAGATAAGGGTTCATGTAGACCTCAGGCTGACCTGGAACTCTTTGGTGCCAGACCTGACAGCATACCCACTCTTAACTACCTTGGCCTTGGCCTGATGTTTATAGGCATTACTACATCTTACATTCTATTAGTGAGACCAAGTCATGTGACTTCTAGGTGGTTGACAGCTGGATTGTGTCCTATCATCATGAACCTAGGAAGGAATAAAGAGAAAGAACCTCTGAACATCTAGCCCATCTCTTCCAAACTGGCATGTCCTTGGGGCTATCCTACAATCTAAACTGTGTGCCCTCCTGTAATAGTTTTCCTAAGCTATGAAAATCTAGGAGACCTCAAACAACAGAAATTCACTGTATCACCACACTAGAGGCTGGAGGTCCAGAATCAAGGAATCCATGAGGCCATGCTCCCTTGTCTGGCGGAGGGGCCCCTTCTTGCCACCTTCATGCCTCTCGTGGCTTGAGGGCAGGCTTGTGCTCTTTGACTTGTGACAGCACTGCTCTAAGCTGTTCACAGGTTTGCCTTAACTCAGGGCACTGCGGTGCTCTCCATCCTAGTCAAAAGGTCAGTCCCTCTGTCTGAACAGAGTGAACTGGACAAACGAGTCTCTCAAGAGCCAGCTCTGGAGGGATTCTCCAGGCCGTTACTAGTTTGCTCATTATCCTGAAATCTCAGAGACAGCCAGACTACTTAAAATATTGAATACAACTAACTTACCTGGTTTTCCCTAGTCAACCTTGACAATGATCTTGAGTGAGAGATAGCAAAAGACAGACAGTGCAACCAAGGAGCACTGTGGAAATGTGCCATCTTGGAACTCACAGCAGCCTAATATGGCGGAGTTGCTGAACAAACACCTGCTGAATTTACTCAAACATCAATAACTTGCTAGGTTCTCTCAGGCCATTGGATTAAAAGCACAACTCTTTGGCTGGGTTCCTGGTATATAAAGGGCATATCTTGGAAATCACAGATGGAGTGAGAAGGGCTGTGGTGAGTGAGGAAGGGGGACAGCCTCGGAGCACAGAGAAAGCTCCCTGCAGCAGGTCATTGACAGTCTATCATTAAAAAAGGTCACACCTAGCAAGCCTTTGTCACAGTGCCTGGCTCTAACTGTGTGTGATGAATTGGGATTGTCTCTAGCAGCAGCAAGTACACAGGTTTCTCAGAAGAAGACAGGCTTTCTTGACAAGACAGGGCCTGTCTATCCACTAGGCCCTACTAAATGGTCATCTGAGGGGTGGTTTCCTCAGTTATTCCAGGGGCAGTGCTATATAGCTAGCCCAAGCTAAAGGTGTGAGTTGAAAAGTAGATTCATTATAAACAGCAGCTGTCTCAAATTTTTATGCCTAAATTCTCCCTGGAAAACCAGACAGAAAAGACCTGATTGCCTGGCATGCACTGGGTTCAACTCCCAGGCCCCCTGCACCACATACAGGAGACTTGGTGACACATGTCCATAATCCCAGTATTTGGATGTGGAAGCAGGAGGGTTGGAAGTCCAAAATCACCCTCCTTGTTCACACAGCAAACCCAAGGCCACCTGCAAAACATGAGACCCTGTATCAAAATGGAAAAGGAAAGGTGAGGAAGGAGGACTGGAGAAATGCCTCAGCCGGTAAGAATGCTTGCTGCGTAATCATGTGAACTAGAGTTTAGATCCCTGCATTTACGTAACATCCTGCACATACCTGTGGCCCCAGCAGGGCAGTCAGGAGGATCACTGGGGTTAAGTTCAGAGAGAGCCTGCCTCAAGGAAATAGATGTGAAGTGATAGAAGCTGACGCTCAAACCTCTTTTGGCTCTAGGCATGCAGACCCATTGACACATGCACACATACATTCACGCAGAATCACACAAAGAAAGGGAGATAGAGGAAGGAAAAAAGAAAGAGGGAAAAGCAGGCAGGCAGATAGCCTATTTATGTAGTTAATAAACACACATGGAACTAGCAGGCATTTTTCTAAGCCTGCATCTCCAATTTGGTATTCATGAGCCACGTGTCACTGAGCACTTTAAATACCTTACACACATGGATATATTCTCTGAGTATAAAAAGCACCTGTGTGTGTGTGTGTGTGTGTGTGTGTTAAGATTGAATAGAAATATGAACAAGTCCATCAATAATTCTAAGATTAATATAAAAGACTGTTTGAATCAGTTTTCCTGTGAAGTCCTAGAGTGAATGTTTCCAAGCTTGTGAGCCATCTAGTCTCACCCCCACAGATATTCAACTGTACTGCTGTAAGGCAAAAGCAGCCAGAGAGCATTCAAAAGCCCTGGGTGTGGTGGTGATGCTATAAAACAGTGAAGACCAAAACCAGAGGCAGATGTGACCCCCACACACTGACCCTCGGGTTTAAATTTATAAAATATGTTATTTTATTTGTTTACTTTTATTTTTTAAAAGGATGGCTGCTGGATGATTTCAAATTGTATATTGGTTCAAAGTATACTTGTATTAACAAGTCTAACCCTGAACCTCATAGAACCCAGAGTTGTCCATGATGAAGAGTACATGCGGGTGTGTGTGCGCATGTACAAGCAAGGCGAGAAGTGTGAATTTCCATGACAGCCTAGAGAGGGCTCCCTAGCCTGTGTCCCACTCTAGCACAGAGTCCAGGTGCAAAGAGCATTTGGCTACTTGCCAGGTCATCATCCTAAATTCCCTTGTGACTAAGCCAAAGTTTCCAGAAAAGCCACCAGGTGGCGATAGAAGACCAGCCTTTCACTGTTGAGCCTGAATTTGGGTTTTCCTCTCTATGTTACAGGACACTCGGTAGAACATGCCCTTTGGAGGCACACAAACCTGGATTTGATTTAGCTTTGCTAGCAGAGAAGTAAGAGTCCTGTTAGGACTCTGCTGGGCCCTAGCTATTATTCTATTTTTAGGTCCATTCCTCTATTAAAAAAGTTGAAAAATTGTATTTTTATCTATGTTGTTTACAAAGAAAAACATTAACATTACATATTAAAATTTTCTTCAACTGAAAATTTATTATTTCTGTGACCCCTAAATTTATTGTGTTCCCAAACCCAACCCAAGAAGTTGTGTCTACCCTTGCATAATAAATGAGTAAGCCCTGGGTTCTATATTCTCTAGCTGTGTGACCTTGGGAAAGTTGTTTGACTTCTCAACTATAGAGTGTGGAAAGAAAAGAAAGGAAGGAAGGAAGGAAGGAAGGAAGGAAGGAAGGAAGGAAGGAAGGAAGGAAGGAAGGAAGGAAGGAAGGAAAAAGAAAGGAAGAAAGAAAGGAAAAGAAAGGAAGAAAGAGAAAGAAAGAAAGAAAGAAAAAGAAAGAAAGAAAGAAAGAAAGAAAGAAAGAAAGAAAGAAAGAAAGAA